TGGGCAGGTAATAAACTTTAAGACCTGGAGGCGTCTTGGTCGGAACGACACCGAGGTCGCCGCCTAGTGGGCGTTGCCAGGCATTGACTATAGACATTCTTAAGTGTAATCCTAAACCCAAGACAGTCTTGATCCAGCCAACCTCCAACTCATTGACTTGGAAGAGATCTCCTGTCTTTATTCTTTTCGTTTCCGGCAGACTCTAGACTTTAGTCCCTGGGAAAGCTAGGATTGGGAAACACTCCTTCCTTCTTCTCTGCTTAGATGAGGACCATGCAAATGGGTACAATACTTGGCAAAGCCACGAGGAGTCTTCAGTGGGAAGCTGACGTGAGCAGGGTGTTAGGTGGCAGAGATTGAGAAAGGTCTGCAGGCAGGGAGCTTCAAGGTGTGCTCAGGGAGTGAGTGGCACATGGACCGGTTGGACTGCTGGGCTACAGCATTTGCCCTGGGAGCCAGGGCAGAAGGACAGGTGCGGTGCAGAGCCAGGAAGGTCTTAGTAAACAGGCAGAGGAGTTTGAGCCTTGCTGTGTATCCACAGAGGGGACACGCGGACCTGGGGAACATTCCCAGGATAGATTTGGAGAAGGAAGGAGCTTAGCCTTAGTGGTGGCAGCTCTGCGCTCTCCTGTTCTTTGGGACTGCCTCCCCTCCCTCCTACTTAATAGATGTCTGTCCTGCCTTTACTATGTGTGCGCTTTAAGCTCAGGGATAGTAATATAGTCCTTATGCTTAAAAAAGAAAACAACCCCCCCAAACAAAACAAAACAAAAACCCTATTTGTCTGAAGAGGGCTAGGGGTAGGATGAGTAAAAGGAAAGCTGGGACTGAACCCCACAGAAGTGAGAGCAGGCTGACAGTGTGAGCTATGCAGCCACTAAAGGCCCCACTCACTCTGTTTTTCATTCCTTCCTGGCTTCAACCCATAAACGTGACTCACACATAAAATAAAACGTTTCTATCACTTAAATCGTTGCATATTTTAGTCATTGTGCAGGAGGGGGACGTGGTAGACTTATAGATGCCTATTTAACTTTTAGAGTTAATGCTTCTTCTCATTATTTCCCATTTAAAGAAAAGAACACCAGTATTGTTAGTGAAAATACAGTCCATAATTTCTTAGCCTACCCTATTCTTATTGACACAGATAGATGAGAAATGTATTCTGCAACAGTCATAGATTGCACGTTCAGCAGAAAGAAACTAAACGTGGAATACAATGCTCTCCCCCCTACTCTGCAAAGTGCCCCCAAGTTAACCATGATCCACTATGTCTTGTGGTTCCTCTCAGAACTCTCTCTCTCTCTATCTCCATGCCATGCTAGACTTCCCTTGTCTCTCTCCCTCTACTCCTCCACACATATATGCATTTCAGTTGTGGTGGGGCGAGAGAGACAGACGGCACTTACTACCTTGCACCAGGGATCTCTTTCCTGATGTTCAGCATCAGGGAAAGAAGAGGCTCATGCCTGCTCTCTCCAGGCAGAGCTTTGTGATTCCAGCAGGGAGGAATGGAACAGATGAGGGTAGGAAGCCAGCAGAAGGGGGATGGAGAGGACTGGACAATCGCTGCTAGGAAATAAGCCAGACTCCGGTGAGGTAATGTGTGTGCTGCTTCATGAGTTCGCTAACGTTAGAGGACCCTTGGGACTCCAGGGGATGAGGGAACTGGGTCAGGCCGTAAAATATGGGGTGTTGAGAGTGCTGGAGAGGAACCCTGCTTTTGTTTTAGGGTAAAGTTTCTATCCCAGTGTGCTATTCTTGTTCATTTGTTTGTTTTTGTTTTGTTTGTTTTGTTAGCTTGACACAAGCTGTAGTTATCTGGGAACAGGGAAACTCAGCTGAAGAATCTCCCCCATCAGATGGGCCTGTGGGCAAGTCTGTGGTCCTATTGCCTTGATTAATGATGTGGGAGAGACCCGCCCACTGTGGGCAGTGCCATCCCTGGCAGGTGGTCCTGGGTGTGTAGGAAAGCAAACTAAGAAAACCTTGGGACACAAACCAGTAAGCATCGTTCCTGCGTGGCCTCTGCTGCAGTTCTTGCCCCAGGTTTCTGGCTGGTGACATCTCTTCATGACGGACCCTTTCCTCCCCAAGCTCCTCGAGTCCTACACCTTCATTCAAGGTGACGTTTCTTTCTGATGTGTATGTGGACAAGAGGCAGTTTCAATTTTGGACTCTGTCT